AGAAAATTACACAAATAATCATGTTTCAGAATATACATTAATAGAGACGTTATCTCACTTGGCGCATGCACTCACCTTTTTGTTTTAGGCGTCATCTCACTTGGCGCATGCACTTTCTTTTAGCCATGTGAGATGGCGCATGCACTATAATATGGGGAGGAGGCGTCATCTGAGATGGTTACTACGTGCAATTGTGTTTTCTATAAATAAAAAACTCATTTCTCCATCATTCTTCGCACTTTCTCACATTCTCTTCTCATTTTCTCTCTGTTTTTTGCATCATGACATCTCCCATGATTTTCACCAGAGATTGATACGTTATTTTCTCGGTCACCAAACCTCCGATGAAAATGTGGCACATTCACTCCATGGAGTGTCTGAAGAGAGAGTTGATGTGATGGCTAGAGGGAGACATCAAAGCTGGAGAACAAATTAGAAGGATCCGGAGAAGAAGAACAGTCACCTCACTTACAACTGAAAGACTTCAATCTTGGTTGGAGGAAGTCAAAACAGACAGAGACGTAATGGTGATGATGCATGGCTCAGATGAAATTGTTTTGACTGTTGTAATTCCGTAGATGTTTTATCGTGTTGTTGATGTTATATTTACATGTTGTATTTTATCGTAATGGTGGTGATGTGTTTTTATTTGTTGTTTGCGTATGGTTTATTGTAATAAATTCTCTTAATGAAAAAAAGTTACGCTTAGATCTTAAAAAGTGCAGATAGTTTGCATACAATTTTTATGTTGTCGAGCTTGTAGCACGAGTGGGACAATTTTTTCGATTGTGTCCGACCTGACGACATAAACCACAATTTCTTTCTAGCTTGTCAAGGGAGTCCATTTCAGTTGTGATACGCTTGCTTTTGGGACGACCCTTTTTATTCCTTCGCATTTGATCATTGTGCTATACTATTTCCCCTTCGTATGCAGGCCAATAATCAGGTTTTGCTACCATTGAAAAGTCATTGTTGTATACGCTGAGTAAGGTTTTAGATTTGTAAATGGAAGATAGAAGTAGTAATGCATCTTGATGAGTATACGTACATGCTTCAATGACATGAGAGTAAGGCATACGAAAGACTTGAAACTTTCCACAATTGCACAACTAAGATGGTAGTATAACCATATACTCTTGTCTTGGCAGCCCCTCGTTATGGTCGATTTTCTCTTTGACAATGAAGTTGTGGCTATGTCGGTCAAATCTTATAACAAGATGGCTGTTGGCTTTGGCACCTTATGCCTTAATATATTTCATGCAGCTTTCACTCCATAGTTGTCCCGATTGTAACGCATTCCATATTTCACCTCTTTTTGCAAACAATGAAGCCATTCTAAAATATGTTGATTTCACCAAAGCGGTTACTGAGAGGTTTCGTATGCCTTTGAATACAACGTTCATTGATTTGATAAGATTTATTATCATGTAGCCCCATCATTGTCCATTGTCGTATGATCTTATCCATTTCTCCACTGGAATATTATCAATCCACCTACCTGCATCCGGAATTGACAATCTGATCTCGTTGCGATAGTGTTTGAACGAAGGTTGTATTAATGCATACCATGCATTCATAATTGTTTTCCTAAGAGACTTGTCTTTGATCTCCCTTGTGAAATTTTTTACGATATGTCTAATGCAGTATACATGCGTAGAAGGAGGGTTATGCCAACCATTTGCAGGATTATTATATGCACTCTCAATAGATGCATGTCTATTGAAGATCAAACAGAGACTAGGTTGTGGAGCCACGTGTGTTTAGATATTCTTGAGAAAGAAACTCCAAGCATCACCAGTCTCTACCTCGACTAGAGCAAAGGAAATTGGTAAAATGTTGTTGTTGTCATCTTGTGCAACTGCCATCAGTAGTGTGCCTTTGTATTTCCCGTATAACCATGTTCCATCTATTTGAATAATAGATTAGCAAGACACAAACCATGTGATGCAAACTTGAAATGCTGAGAACAGTCGACTGAATATTCCATTTCCGTTGACAGAAGTACCATCTGGGGCATACGCCGACAATGTTTCCATAATATAAACAGTTCCAGGAGAATACGTCTAAAGTACATGCAGGTAGCGCGGTAGTTCTTTGTATGACTTCTCCCAGTTTTCATATACCTTTTCAATCGCCTTGGTCTTTGCTAATCACGCCTTTTGTATGATGGAGTATAATTGTATACTGTAGTGATCTGAGAGATTACAATTTTCACCTTCAATGACGGATCATTGCTGACGAGAGGTATGATTTCTTTACATATTAGATCATAATTTAGTTTACGATGATCTTGTGATTGAGTAGAATTAATGCACGTGTGGGTGGACGTAGAATCTATCACCCAACAATCACTTCTCAACCTGTATGATGTAGTGAGCCTGAATATACAATCTGGGTGAACATACTTGAGCTTGTACCTTTCTGGATTTACCTAATCTAGCTTAAAATCGATAGAGTTTAACATGTGAAACTTTTTTATAACTCACATACAATATTCTCTTGAATGGAATTTGTCTTTCTCTTCAAATTTTCATCTGACTGCATATACGAGTTGGAAAAAATATGTGATGACGGTTCATCTCCGTCCATGTTAAAGTTTATCATGTGTGAAGGTGGTGTGTAGATTTCATTTGGAGGTATTTCAGGTAGCGCATCGTCTTCAGAATCATCGTTGACCATGTTGTCGAACTCTAACTCTTCATCTTCCTCTTCTTCGTCAACGACAACGCATTCATTTTCCCCTACGCAACAAAGTAAGTTAATAGCTTAAATAATTTATTATTCATCCTTTCGCCAAATAGATGTATAAAATTATTTATTTTTTTCATTCCTTTAGATACTATGTAAGGGGTATGGATTACAGCAAGAATCCAAGATTCAATGTCGCTCTGTACCGTAATCTTTTGGATCACGTTGACCCAGATGATGTACGTGGTACCTCTAAACTTTTCTACTTTTAAATTATTTATTTTTAAAGTTTTCATTATTCTGATTAATTTTTATCCATAATTTATCTGGAGACCATATTTGGGTTTAGTCCATGAACCCAACCCCGATGATGCAGCAGTTTGGACTGTAAAGACTACAATCATAGGTTCAATATTATGGAGATGCACCACAGTGATTGTGTCAAGATGCAATTCGGAATGTAAGACTACAATCATACAGTCCAACTTATTTGTCACCTTAGCATCTCAAAAAGATCGACGCTCAATGGGGTGTTAATATTGGAAAGGTTTCACTCCGAAATGGTGTAAGATGTGGCGTAGGCGTCACCAATATGTTTTACAATTTCCTGTTTTCCGTAACCAGATTAATATGCGACACACATATCAGTATATTGATTGGTACAAATCGATTACTAACCCTGAAATGCACGTGTCTCACCCGAGGTATTTGATCAAATAATGGGCACAATCAAACATCACACAACAACAACCCCAACAACAAACTCAACGCACATCAACCTCCCACCAAACACAACGACGATACAGATCCACCAGCATCTAACCCCAAACCCAAGACCAATACCAATACACACACATGTCTCACACACAATCACAGTACCAAGAACAACAATTATACATCTGACATCCTAATGTGAGCCCCTCGTCGTCTCACCTTAGCCTAGACATTGACCAACCTGAAGAATATTCACCAACCAACTCAACTTACCATCAGTCATCCTATCACCATATCACCCAACAATCACAGTATCAAACCCTCACAAGATTCATTTCCTTTTTACCCCCTTATTCAGGTGATCAGTGTTATCGACCCCCCATAGAATCTCACCCCAACCAATACAATCAAACTTTGAGGACATGGGTAACTGACTGTTTGAAAGTGGATCTTCCAGATATGATGATCTAACAGCTTTCATGGATCCTAAACGCATTGACTTCGCAAGGCCCTCAACCCAACCGCAACAGGAAATACGTCGAAATGCACCATGAGTTAGACGAGGACACGGGTGTGGAACTACAGATCGTTATCGAGTCTCTAGAGCAACTAAATAATGTGTAATTTTTATTCTCATTATGTAATCGTTTAATTATTATTGAAAATCAACTTTCATTTGTAACGACATTGCCTTTTAATTCTTTAACAAAAAAAAATCAAAAAGAAAATAACTTTGTACCTAGGCGTCATCTAAGATGACTTAGGGCAAATGGCGTGCACCTAGGCACCATTTCACTTGGCGCCTTCTTTAAAAAAAAAACAATGCATGCGCCATCTGAAATAGCTATTGCATTATAACGTTTTCTGAAACATAATTATTTACGTAATTTTATCCGAAACATGATTATTTGTGTTTATTTTTCAAAATATGGTTATTGCTTAAAAAAAAATCAAATGTGAAAGAAAAAGAGAGAATAGGTTTCACATTATGATAGTGTTAGTGTGATGAAAATATATAAAATAAATTTGTAAGGTGAATGATTAAAACAGTGAATTAAAATTGGATTTACCATTTAAATGTGATATTTAGCTTTGAATTAGTTAAATCAGTAAAAGTAACGTATTAGGTTTTAAAAAGAAATAGTTACAACAAGCAAAATTTAAACAACATTAAGCCTATATTTGACTTTTCCATAACATCTTATTTTCTTATTTCTTTCTCATTTTAAGTGTAATTGGAAACACATTTGAAAACCAATGGACAAAGCCATGCTAAAATTGTGATACAGAATTGGTTAAATCATCACTAGTAACTTTTCTATGCTCTAGAACTTCAAGATCAACTCCATCTAAATAAATATGAACACTACATACAAAAGCAAGTACTTCAAACAAGTCTCAACTTCACTCTAGCACTAGCAACAATTTACAAGATTAATTCAACTTAGTCAATGCAAATAAACAAGAAACAAATAAATTAAATCTAATTAAAGTACATAAACAAAATTTCCTGATTTTTTCCCTCCAAACTATCATTGATTCCTACTATTTTATATCCATGTAGAGGAAATGCAGGGACATGATCACAAATTGGATTTTCATACAAATGACCAATTTATGAAAGAGAAGGCTAAGCAATGAACAGAGTTATCTTCTGGTGTTAACACTTTCCATGCAATGGCTTGCTCGTATGAAACATGCCGTCCCATCGTAGACATGCAGATCCCGGCTGGTAGATAAGCAAAACCCTAACGAAAAGTATGCACACAAGTTAGCCATGATCAATCAAAATCATAGTCTGGAGTCCAAATTTGGATAAATGGCGTAATGAAGTGCTTATGTATAAACTTGTGGAAATCACCTGTTGCATTAACTTGGCGAAATCTGAACATAATGCCTTGCGCCCGGACTCATCAAATATTTTATCCAATGTGATGTCTTGTAAGGCTACTAGAGTTGTCTCCAACATGTCAAGGCCAGCTTGATTTGCAAAGACGAACACTGGCTGCGACTGCAATACCAAATGGAAAATCACATCAGTCTCGCGTTACATAAGGCTGTTAAAATCACTATTCCTTTCTACGCAAAAGAATCACGACCATACCTTTAGTGAACAACATAGAATGGCGTCCGGGTGGTGCCACAGCTGTTTTAGCATCAAGTCGCCAACTAGAGAATCTGATCTAAGTAAATCTGTCCCCAAATAGCAACTGATAAAAGAGAAAGATACACACGCGTTAATCTTTTTACCGAAAATAAATGTTAACTAGAATGCTATAGATATTCGAGATTGATCAGTAAACTTGCCTATAACTCTGGCAGATCCAATGAGCTAGTGTAACTGCTTCTGGAGAGCCAGGAGAAAGTTTTGTTCCAACAGCTGAGTTTATACCGGACGGAGAAATAGCCATGGCAACCCTCTGAACAGAGGAAATCACGCTACGAACATATTGACGTGCCATTATTACAACATTATCTTGCATGGTGCTGTCGAAAGGGAACTGAAAGGCAATAGTCAACACCGATCGTGTGTTTTGACTCGATGAATCTGCACCGCCGTGAGATGTTGCTGCGCCCACATCAAGACCTGATGTCAAATCCAGTGTTCGGTTTGAATTCACTGCATCCTTTTTATCACCCTACAACATGAAAATAATAAAGTGACATGAAATTAAATTATTTGAACTCAAAAGTCATCATATAATATAGAGTGAAAAACAAGGGAACCAAACTCAACTGGTTTTGAGTCCAACGGAATGATGCGGAAACCAGAAGGTACCAATGGAGCGTCATCTGGGAACATTTCATCGATTGGAGCAAATATGAGCTCCGAACAAGTCCCAACAGCATTCTCATCGGTTCCACTGCATATCTGCAGAAAGAATACACATTAAACACCTTAGTACATACCTACACCGATCATATTTCTTCATGTATAGACCACATCTACATACAAGAAATCATTTCATTGGTTGTACAAAATAACATATTTTACCCAAGATGATATATTCACAATAGACCTGGCTCGGATTATGCAAGAAGAGATGAATAGGGATACTACTTATTAGTTTATCAAGAGCCGAGCATTACCTGTAAGAGATGAATGTCCCTTGAAACAAAAGCATCTTCTGGAGCAAGAGAGTGGCCTTCAAGCCTAATAACCTCAAGCATCTACAATGAAAATTTGAATCCATCATGAACATTGCTTTAATGAACAAATGTTTAGTGATCTGAAAAAAAATGGTTGACGTCACTCTGCATAACATGATAAAACATTTCAGTTTGACATGTGAATGCAAACACGAACATACCTCTTCATGTTCAATTGTCTGACCAAGGGGCATGATTATTTGATTGCCAGTGAATCTTGTAGGCCTCATCCCTGGATAGGCATAGTTTCCAGCTTTCAATGATGCAGCAGAATAAGCATCGACGTTGAAATCTGCCCATTCTGAGCGGTGCTCCCTTAGGAAGCGAACCAAAACAGCAGGAGGAACGTTCTGCAAGAAAAAGAGTATAAAAACTAACATCCCAAAATAGACACTGCTGAAAATACATTGACACTGAGTTCTCACAACTCACTTGGAGCAACATAGAAGCTTTTGCACAGAGGATTCCTCCAAGGAATGTAAGGGAACTTGCTGGATTAGAAGTGCTACTCAAATTCTTGGTTGAATTAACAGCAATAATTACATCCTCGGCACCATCACAGTTCAGTATAGACCACCCATTATCATTGAATCCATTTACAGCATCATTGAAGCCTCTGCAAATGTAATATATCAGTTTTCGGTTTTGAAAAAAGAAGAAATATGAATTGGAGACGATATTATAAAAATCAATATTTCATGTAGCTACCTGCTTAATCTTTGGCTGAATGTTCGCAAAACAGCAGGCTGTCTACCCAATCCATATACTACTTCGCCACTCATTTCCTGAGCTATTTGCCTAATATATCGAAGTGCCTATTGCAAAATATACCAATAACATCAGTCAACAAAGTTTTGCAATAAATCCTACTTTGTGAATTAACAATAGTGAACTTACCGCAATGGTCATTTTTTGAGCCACAACTTTTGGGGATTCATAAAGCGGTCGTAGCACTTCTGGCACACTCCAAGGCTAGAATAGAAGACAAGAATAAACAAATTAGATTAAGCAAAGAATGAAAATGAAAAATATACATTAACTTATATTGTTAGGATGTCTAACCTCAAGATTTAGGTGGTCTACAATGTGGATAATTGAACCTCCACCATCACATGGTCGAATCAAGTAGCCACTAGGGAGCATTTCACCTCTTACAAACTGAGCAGTAGCAGCTGGATTAGGACCGGTGCCAGAACCGGATAGGGACCTCTCACAAACCTTCAAAAATGGGATCAAAATGTGAGCACTAAGCACGCTAAATCTTCTCCTTTATAGTATAAAATAATCAAGACAGCGCAAAATATACACACCACAAGACTGCCATTGTCCAAACTTGTAGTGTATCTAAGAGTCCAGAAATCCCGGGCAGGAGCCAGCGTCGTTGGAGCATATGTCTGTAACAAATCTGAAGGTTATCCACAGGTATGAATAAATCGACACAAATTGTTATTAAATTTCATATTTGAAGTTCACCTGTGTGTAAATAAGCTCAATGGTTCCTCCGTTTCCGGCAGGAAACATTGTGAAAACTTCAAGGTTCCGACACTCCCGAAACCAAGATAAACGATCTTTAAGGATCTCTGCAATCTGTTGAAAATTTAAGATTCAGAAATTAAAAATTCAAACCGTTTGTAGAACTCAACGTGCATGGGAATAAATGATGCAAAAATTGCAAACCACACTTTTACATCTTATTAGGATGTGTAATTTACCTTTGTAGGTTCTAAACTAACAAGACCGCAAGCTCGAGCTGCCACTCCACTACAACTTTGTGAAATCGCAAAGATCCCAACCGAATCCGGACCAGGCTGACAGAGAGAGAAAAATAAAAATTAATTGAGAGATCATAGAGATTAATTTACTAGAAGAAACTTAGTGGTCATATTCAAATCAGCATGGTATCATAACGAAATTCACAATGATTATCTTCTTCAATACCACGAAAATTGTTCTAAAAACATGACCAAACTGCCTGATTCAACCAGTTGAACAAGGAATCTTCTACTTCATCTGCTTTTGATAATACGTTAGTCGGTTGGTTCAACCCATTCTTACTTTCTTGCATTTATTTAATTTTGTTTGTTAAATATTTATATTTATTTGTCATCTTGGTTGAACCCTTGAACCGTGACCCAAATTTCTCATCGTTTCTATCTCCAATTCGGTTTCTAAAACATTGGTCATGACCACTAATGTCATTACTAAATTTACAGCAAGGAATACTAATAAGAGACCTTCATCCCAGGCATCTGGACCCAATCAACAGCAGTTCCTGTAGCCTTTGAAAGGAACTCAGTCAAAGTCTCCTCTGCAATTGATAGGAGTCTACAAAGGATTATACAACAGAAAAAGAATTAGAGAAGCCTCCAAGATTAAAGTAAAAAAAAAAAACATAGAAAGTTAAAGCTCGTTTTCATAAGCCTCTAAATTACCCAGCAGGGTTATTAGCATCACTCTTGGAATTCTGAGGAGTAGTAACAACCGAATCACAACTCGCATCAGTGGTTGCTGCTGCTGATGGCTGCAGAGATCAAAACAATCAAATAAATTTTACTTATTTCCATTGCATGATGATGACATAGAACAAAATATAACATCCATTAATATCATCACCAAGCCTTAAAATGTAACGTCCATTAAAATGTTTGATTCTGTCGGGACAAAAAATTGATTTTTCTTAATTCAATTGTAGAGCCAAAAGTTCTTAATTCTAGCTTCAAGTTAGAATCAATTCTGGAGTCAAGATCAATTCCACTAGAAAACAACCAAACATGTCATAATCAATTATCCTCCTCTAGAATTAATTTTGCCTCATCCAAAAGTGGAATTGTGACATGAGACATGTTCCTCACACACTTACAGTATGCAACTGCTGCCTCATAAATCCATTCTCACACACAAGCTGTGAAACTTGTTTCTGCAACCTATCATTTTCTTCCATCAACAACTTGTTCATTGCAGACAACTTTCTATTCACAGTCTGAAGTCTTGAAGCCTCTTTTCTCTGCTTCTCTCTACACCTGCACAACGTTCACACCCAAAAAAAATTAAAAAAAAACCTAAGTGCTTATTTCACACAGAACAACATTCAAACACTTGAAGCACGATTTTGAATAGTGGTAACTACCTTCTATTTTGGAACCAAACCTTGATTTGTTTAGGTTCAATGTTGGAAAGAATATGACACTCTCTAATCAATTGTTGTCTTCTCATGGAACTAGGCTTAGGACACTCAGCATAAACCCTTTCCAAAGCCTCAACTTGTTCAGAAGTATACCTAACATATTTCCCAGAATCAAGATGCTTATCAATGCTTCCACCACTGCTACTACTTTCTCTATGATGAGCCACAGCCATAGCCATATTTTTGTCACCCAAAAAAACACAAAAATTGTTGTACTAGTAAAACATGTAACTTTATATGAGAAATGGAAGAGGTTTAAGGGAAAACGAAAATGGGTTTGTGTAAAGTTTGGTTTTTTTTAGATGGGTATGAAGGAAAGAAAGAAACAACCTTCACCTTCAACTGTTCCTTCTTTTTTCACTCCAACTTTGACTACTAACAACACCATTTACGTTGTGAACAAAGGAGGGTTTTTTATTATTGTTTTATAGTGAAAGAGAAAGAGAAAGAGAAAATGTTAAGGTTATAGAGGTTTCACTTTTTGAACAAGATAAGTTTGAAATGGAGCTTAAGGTAGAAGGAAGGAATAACGAGGTTAGAGTAGAAAGTGAAGTTGTCTTAGTCTTAGTCTTAGTTTCTGTGTTGTTTTGAAGAATCTGCATCAGTATGAAAGAGAGAATGAAGAGAAGAGAGAAGGAATAAAGGGAGAGAATAGAAGAGAATAGAAGTGAGAAGAGCAAGCTCGGATATCGAGAAACATGGCATGAGATGATGTTTTTTTGTTTATTAAATATATGATGAATGTCTTTCGTGTATTTACGTTCTTGTCCTTTTTGTTGTCTTGTTTCTTCTAATTTACATCTTCCACCTCCACGTTTCCACCAACTCTTGTCACTCACCTCACCCTATTACTACTTTTCGGCTCATTTAGTATAAATACTTGAATGAGAATACTCATCATTGATATTTAAATCATTTATATTTTACATTTCATAACTAATCATTCATACTTAATAAGTTTGTTTAATTGTTTGTTAATTTAGCTGTGCACTAACTAATAAATATAAAATAACATAAAAATATATGTAAAATCATGATTATTATCTCGAAATTCACATGCATTAGATGATTGACGTGAATATAATAAGTATACATTTATATATATTTGCAATTTATATATATAGCTTTTGAGAAAAAACTATAAGTCTACAAGTTAAAAGCTAGAAAACATTTATCAAACATAGTTTTTTTTTGTTTATATGAATGGAAAAGTTAAAAGTTAAAAGTTTTTTTTAGAATCTTAGTATAAGATTATGTCCAATAATTTACATATTCAATTTTTTATATTTTATATTTATTTTTTTTTCTTCCACCTAATAATTCAACACTCATTTAACTTTTACTAATTATAATAGTTTTGTTTAATAAAATTCAACACCTATGTCATCATTTTTATTTTATTTTTTTATTTTTTTATTTTTTTATATTTTTGTTTTTATGATTTTATATTAATATCAATTTTCGATTAAAATAAAATTAAAATAATTAAGAGCTAAATAATTTATTTTAATTTTTTTCTAATTTAATAATTTATTTTAACTTTTTTTAATTTTATATTCTTAATTTATTTCAATTTTTTTTCCAATTTTATAGAGATAATCATTATTAAAATAAATAAAAGTGGATAAAATAAGAATTTATTTGAGGTTAAATAAAAAAAATAAAGAGAAAAAGTGGATTTGTTTGTGTGTCTAAATCAAATGAACCAAATTTATATTTATAGATAAAAACATGATAAATTTTGGTGAAAATAAAAATAAATAAAAAATTGATTTATTATAAAATAATTGATTCTAAATAATTAAGGTGAATTAAAAATGTAAACAATCACAACTACCAATAAAACTTTGCAAAGTATTATATGTGATCACACTCTCTCTTCATTTAACATGTTGAATATTTCCAACATCAATTAATCCACGTAATTTTCAACCATTTATTCAACACATCATTATATTTATTTAACTATTGAATAATTTTTTCAACACCCCTATTGTACATAGTCTAACATTCTGAAATTTGATTAATTTATTTAATCGAATTATTTGTGTTTTATTTAATTGTTTAATATGAGGTATGCTTTCAATTAAATAAGTTATGACTTTTATATGTGCATGCAGGGTATGGTGGGGCCTAGTGAAAATTCTGGTAGGTTGTAGAACAAAATAAAAATAATTAAATTTAATAATTATTTTTAATCAAAGAAAATAAATAGAAATAGAGGTATTGGGTGGAAATTATAAATAATAGAAATAGAGGGATAATGAGTGAGAAGTAAAGTGAGTTTGGTCAAAGTGATATAATTAAAAAAATTATATTAGGTTTTGGAATAAAAATGGATTAGGATAGCCTAATTGAGTCAGTACATTGTCGCTACGCGAAAAAATATAGAGTCGTCGTCGAACTTTATTTATCCCAAAGGAAAGGGGAAACATCGAGAAAACCCTAGAAGATAAAGAAAATGGTCTTGCAACCAAATTTGGGTTCGGAAGTCGGTTATGTAAGGGGAATGTATTAAAATCTCTCATATTTGTTGTACTCAACGGGATCCATTTTATTTGTTTGTTTGTTTCTAAGGGTGTTATTATCTAAAGGTTTACTTGCTATGAATGAGAAAAAGGGGAAAAATAAGTTTTAAATTAGAGTGCTCGCCTCAATTTCGAAACCTCGTGCCTACGTATCCTCATAGCGCAATAAGGAAATTAGAGCTTCGTAGTTCGGCTAGAAAATAGGTTATTTGTTGGTTGTGTTTAGTAGATGATGTTACGTTTGCGTTCCAACAGTTAGGTGTTGTCACTCGTTGTGTGGAGACTTATATGTTACCTGTTTGTGGTAGAACGAAAATAACATGCTCTTTCTGAAAAGAATTTTGAAGTTGAAAAACTCTAAGGCAAAAAGAAGTTTGATTTGTTGAAGTGAATTGTTAGGAGACGTATACCAAATGGTCTCCCGAGGTTGAGGGTACTTGAATATACGGGAAATCAGGAAGGAATACCCCACCAACTCTTTTTTCGCCTTTAGTTATGAAAGTGTTTGTGATACGTATCATACTATAGACTATTAAATGAAGGCGAATACTTTGAATAACCGAGCCAGGTGTCCCATATTCAAATATACTCTAAGATGAGGTAAGGAAGGATCCCGCTCACCTTTCTCTATTTACTTAAGGCTCGTGACGTATAATGCGCATTGTATTTTTAAAGTGTTTTGAATTTGTTTAAAGAAAAGAATTTTTGTCTTTTGTAATAAATAAAAAGGATTCAAATGAATGATGCAAAAGTAAAGGGAATTATCTCTTAATGTTGTCATGCAACAATGGACCTAGAGTTTGAATTTTCAAAGGGAATTCTACCTACAAGTTGTCATGCAATGGCTTGATCAAGACCTAAGGATGTGCTACATTTTAATTCAATTTAATCAAGTCAAAGACTCTAATTAAATTGAACCAAAACCATACCTAAGGGAGCATATTATCAAGAATCAACCAAAAATCAAATAAAAAGAACTAAACAAAATTCTAATTATTTTTATCATGTTAGCATGTACATGGAAATTGATCAATATCATGAAAAGTCACACACAACAAATAATCACAATAAACAATTAATAGTAAATTAAAAGAGAAAATAAGTTATTA